AATAATCAGGCTTGGACCTGGAGCGTTGAAAGACGGCAATGAGCAATGTATGAGTATTGTTTAAGGATTAAACAGGTTACATACGCAATCTGTATTTCATGACAAGAATAGGTGCTCGGGATTTGTTTCTCCCCAGAATTCCTACATTGGTAATTTGGAACATAGTTACTGATACACATACAACAGGAGGTTGCCCAGAGTGCAAGTTTAAGAGACTATTTTTAATAACTGGATTTATCTGTTGGTGACAAGAATTGGCATCACACATGGAGAATCAAAGCTTGGAAAGGATCCATTGGGCATCCCACAACAGGAATGTTCCTAAGCACCCAACGTTGGTAGAAAGAGAAGGCCAAAATGAGGATCAGGCGGTGACAAGGTGCGAGTTGGCGTATCTCACGGCATCTGTTATCCCCTGTTGTCCTGACACAGATTCAGTTATTTACAGGTCGCAGTGATGACGCTGGACTCGTGGTTTGCTGTGGCATAAAACAACATTCACTTGCTCCAGTCATGATGACTAGATGCTTCCACCCTTATGCTACCTGCCTGTACCTTACTGGAACTTCTGTGATATTGATATCCTGGAGAAAGTGTAGTCAGAGCAAGAAATGATGTATATTTTGAGATACAACTAAAATTATGGAAGTGCCCGAGTTGTAACTTGAGATGAGAGAGTGTTGGAACACAATATCATGACTCATAAAGAAATTTAGAAACTTTTCAATAAGTTATGTATGTTGCTGTCCACGTGAAAACTGAATTCATGTATCAAGCCATATCCTTATATTGAATCTGTTACATTGATTCTGTCTCTCTTTGGCATCGCTTCATGTCCCCAGGGGGATTCCTGTTTAGAATACGTCCACAGCAACCAATGTGTGTCGTAAGAGGTGATCAAATGAGTCAGGTGCTCAGGCGCACTGACTTGGTTGATTGCAAGTCATTGTACCCTATGGCGTAGATCGTTGCTCTCAATATCAATGACTGGATTGTCTGGGCCAGACAAGTATGTACAGACTGCTGTCACATAGCTGGAAGATTACAGTGTGCAGTGTTAAGCCACATTGAGCATCTATTGACAGATGATCTTCATTTAACAGGAGTCCTTGAAGTCACAAATAGTTTTATTGTTTGGCGCGGCGCAGACAACAACATTTAAGTATTTCAGGGTTAACAATGTATAACAACAAGAAATGTACAGAAATCTTTTTTACAAAATGTTCAATGTCAGCTCCTGTCATCTAAAGTCAGCACCACCTCCACAACTACACTGAGGCATCAATATACACAGAAATATGACGTTACTTTGTGACATGCTACTCAGGCAGTCAGTAACTATAGCCACTCGAACAAAGCCCGGGCCTAGCAACATTCTGTTCGGTCTAGTAATCTCAACTCATAATTGTTCATGAAATAACAAGCAACTATTGAAAATGATACTAAGAGTCAGGTCTGGCCTAGTAGACTCAACATCTTTGGGACACCTCTTGTCGACAGTCAATACAAAATATGTATGCATACTTAGAGATATATTGTTAATCTTATAAAAATATCTTGCAAAATCTGGTTTTCTAGTGATGTTTATACTGTAAGGACTTTCAAGAAGTATGTTTGATTAAGGTTTACTAAATGTTTAAATAGCATTTCTTATTCCCCTTAATAATGGAATACTGCTGTTAACATGAAGTGCCAAGGTTCCCTGTCAGTGTAATGTATTTTACTACCAACTTAATACTGAGTACAAGTACAGTCATGATTAACAGTACCACAACCCTACAACTACACAGACGTCACCCACCAAAACTGTTCCGAACTTTGACCTGGACATGAGTTGGACATGTCAGACATAAAGCTGAACCTGAAACATTGTGAGTGCTTCTCAAGTTTGTACACACTACATTCCTACATCCACTATGAACACATACAGCCACCCTGCTGTGTTGTTGCTATTTGTAACCATGGCCAGGACCCTGTTCCACAAAGCGATTGTGACCCGTGAAGATTCTGGGGTAGAATAGGTCTTCAGCAACCCATGCTTGCCGTAAAAGGCGACTATGCTTGTCATAAAAGGCAACTAACGGGATCGGGTGGTCAGGCTTGCTGACTTGGTTGATGCATGTCATCGATCCCAATTTCGTGGATCGATTCTCATGATATCAGTCACTGGATTGTCTGGTCCAGATTCAATTATTTACAGACCGCCGTCATATAGCTGGAATATTGCTGAGTGCGGCTTAAAACAACACACTAATAAACAATAAAATAAACAAAGCGATCGTAGCGCTAAGATGATCGTAACTCCCATTGTTTAAAATAGACTTAAGAAATGTTCCAGCACCTGATCACTTTGTGGAACGGGGCCTGGTTCCAGCGAGAGGGAACCATCAAAGGCTCACTCCAATAAACGCTCTGATTACATCGGCAATACATCTCATACGACATGTACATCTTCTGCCATCTTCTCGACACATTACTCATGTCAGACAACAGCTGTGTTTGCACAGAGTTCATGCAGGGAGGAGTGCTCATATGACTTCCGTGAGTGATACATGGCCTCATTTCATTGGCTGACTAAAACAGACCGACGTCATTACAATGAAAAGCTGCCCTATGTATTCACGGGTGATGGAGTGACAGTGAAACCACCCACAAAGTGCTGATGATGATGTCTAAAAGAGGAAAGATCGTGTGTCTAGAAGACGTCAATGCATCATTGTCTATTACATGTGACAGGTGTAATTGAAATAATGAACAGTATCTTATCTTTATTAATAGGACAGAGAATGACAGCTGACAGCATTAATTGGGAACAGACAACTAATGAATCCAGTATGACGTGAGCACTGAAAGTAGCTTTTGAACAGCATGCTTAGGCTCCTGATGTCGTGTGTCTACCTGGAGGACTTGAACTTCTGTTTGTTTGTTTGTTTGTTTGTTTGTTGTTTAACGCTGCACTCAGCAATATTCCAGCTATATGACGGCGGTCTGTAAATAATTGAGTCTGGACCAGACAATCCAGTGATTGATATCATGAGCATCGATCCATGAAATTGGGATCGATGACATGCATCAAACAAGTCAGCGAGTCTGACCGCCCGATCCCGTTGCTGTCCTCCAATCATGCTAATGACAAGCATAGTTGCCTTTTACAGCAAGCATGGGTTGCTTAAGACCTATTCTACCCTAAATCTCCACGGGTAATGACTTGAACTATCTAGATGACAGGAGTGACACTACTGACAACACAAACATGATTACATGGAAAACAATCATCTGTGGCACACTATGTTTTGATGCTGACAGAAATACACTTGTTTCTGTGGCAAGTCAATGTCACCCAAATGACAGGATATCATTCCACCACAGACCGCCTCTGTGGTTTAGTGGTAGAGCATGCACCTGGACAGCAGAAGGTCATCTTACCAAAAAGATGTTATAAGATGGTACTTGTTGTTACCCTGCCTGGCGCTCAGCACAAAGGGGCTAAAACAAGGACTGGTCGGCTCGGAGTCAGTACACTGTGTTTGAGTGGGGTATTCATGTTAAACTGTGGCAACACAGACACACACACACGTACGTGTATGCACATCGCTGTATAAGTGCAATAATCTAGGACATAACATTAAAACCCAATTTAGGCCACAACTTTACACCCTTGGCAGCCTGTAAACAGTCCTGTCAGGGCCAGACAATCCAGCAACTGATATGTGCATCCTACAGTGATGGTGTAGGATGCTGAGGCCAATTATATCCAGAATCTCGGCAAATCTCCACTTCATTAATGACACAGAATCAACACTGGAAGAGGAAGGCAGCATCAACAATGCGCCGGTGATCATTTATAATTAATGATTAATCAGCGACGCTGAAGCCATGCAGTGATGGATTGTGAAACACTGTAACGGAATGTGGAGAAAAGTCTTTTTCATATCAAATGTGCAACTATTCATTAAATCAAATATAACATAACGACACATTAACACACTCATCAATAATTTGCAACCAATTAAGGCATTCAAGGAAAATAAGATTTCCAAAATATTATATCCTGACAAAAACAGATAATACAACGTACGATGTATTGCAAATATACAAAAATTAATATCCTACAACAATTGATGATAGAACAAACTGATGATAGCTGACGATCATTGATGAAATCCCAACCATTTCCCTTCACGACCATCTATCAATGTTAATATCATCAGGGTACTTGGAGCAGAATCAGTCACGTCAGATCCCAGAGATGGACATTCTGGTGGTAAACCTATCTACCCTCAGTCGGCTGTTGCATGCACATGAGGTGGAAAGACTGCTCAATCCATTAATGCAATGTAACTGTCACTGGCCCAATAGCAATTCATTCATGAAATATTAATATTATCGTTCACATTATCAATTATCACATTATCAACACCATAGTTGTGAAATACACAACTATTTCCAGTAAGTACTTTACAATTCATTGTTCCAGAATACAGCTTGTGTAAAGAGATACAGGTATGTGGCCATTCAGTGTCAACACTTTCACAACCTGCTGGCCATATTCATAGCTACTCTTTTTAACTTCCTTGTACATCCTCTAACAACATCATATAACATACACATACACACAGCAGAGCTCCAGATAAGCTTTTGGTGTTGTGGGTATTTTACCCATGCATTTTAAAATCATTGGGTATCAGTTATTCTATCTGGGTATTCAAATTTCTGTTACCAACTAGTTTTTACACATGTGGATATTTAAGTTAAATATTTAAAAACACTATTCATCTAGTTCCTGCCAACTGGTGTCGTGTGGGTTCGAGAGCTTTATAGGACTCAAAAATACCATGATACTTCCACAAGAAAGTGTGATGGCAAATGATCATGATGTAACTGTCATCGTGGAGTTTGGCAAGGTTGACGGAATGCCCGTTTATAATTTCAAAATAAGTTGCTGATTTGCTAATCGAATACGCAGGGTTACTTCACAATATTTTGATGATACTCACAAGTTTTATTTTTGTAGCGTATCTGTAATGTTTGTTGCCTATTTGATACGCTTGGATTTTATTTTACTGCGTATTTCTGCATTTCTGATGCGTATTTCACGCAGATACGCAGCTTATCTGTAGCTCTGACACAGTATGATATCCTAGACAATCTCATGCTTAAAAGAGACAATTGAACGAAACCCAGAGGCTGGAAGACCTAAATTAACATGATTAATGTGACCTCAGCATGTGAAATCGAGTTCCCTCTGTGCACAGGACACCAGTATTAATACTGCCAGAAAGGACATACTTGTCAAATGTTGGCAGAAAACAGTAGTGACAATAAATATAGCACAATGTTAGCCTCGAAATGGGAATAAGCTATGTCTGAATGAGCACTTGATGATTACCTTTAAAGGCATATGTAGCCTCGTCATCCTAGAAAGACATATGACAGATGTGACCAGATTGATGACATTTGAAGAGCAATAACTTCAGCTGCAATGAGATGTGTACTGACACATGATGCAGCTGCACATATTAATTCTTGTTTCACAGATAAGATTGGATAGTCTCATGCATGAAACATGAAAATTAATATGTCTGGTGTTATTAACCATAAATACAAAACAGATTTAATCATGTAATAAATTCACAGTGATAGTTTGGTTCTCTCTGTTGAATAGGTGATATATATTGCAGCCTTTGAGTGAACAGTGATGTTTTGTTACCATGGTTACAATCTAATGTCGATCTCCAACTTGTCACATTTACATCGCCATGGTAACAGTAATATGCAAACAAAACGGCATTACAAGTACCTAAGGCAAAACATTTGGCATCTTCAAAATCATATCGCCAACTTAAGCATGCAATGTCTAAATGTGGAAATTGAAAGACATACACTTTCGACTTGGAGACACATATTGTCCAATCACAGTCCATCTTACAAGTCTTTTTCTTTCTTAACCAATCAGCACTGATGTTTTTGAAGCTTCATATTAAAAGGTTCCAGCTGGTCCCCAGGAGGTAAGAGCTTATTAAGTCGGTCCATTTTGGGACCAATATCGTCCATCCTCATCCTGATCTTCTTCAGCACAGATAATGTTTCATGTACCCGGTTAAACTGTTCAGCATACTTGTTGTACTTCTTCTGTCTGTCAACTAATGCTGTGTGTAGTACATTGATGGTATGGTGAATCTGAAACATGAAAAAATACACGAAAACTATTTATTTCATCAGTCCCTGGAATAACCTGTCTATTGGCATCAATTTCCCGAGATGTTATATGAACATCCATGACAACTGGTAGCTGAACACGTGTTACCATGCTTACTGGGCAGAGGGATTTATTACTTGACTTGAGGTTCTTACTTGTCAAGCCTCATGCCACACTTAATCCCATTAACATCTGATCTTTAACTCTGATACGATATTATATCAGTGAGGTGAGGTGAAATGGAGCTTAACGCCACATCTGAGATTTTTGCTCTTATATAGCGACGTGCATGCATGTGTGTGTGTGTCTGCTTGTACTAGTCCGGATTGATGCCGATTTGAATACCCTACTCAGACACAGTATACTAACTGAGTGCCGACCAGTCATGGTTTTAGCCCCTTAATGCCGAGCACCAGGCAGGGTAACAACAAGTACCATCTTTCAATGTCTTTTGGTATGACACGGCCAGGGATCGAACCCCAGACCTTCTGCTTTACAGGCGTACGCTCTACCACTACACCACGGGGTGTGGGGTTCTAAAAGATTAAAGATTTGACATTTATTGACTTTGATTTGAGTACATGTACTTAAATACATAGTGAGTGTGATTAAAGTACTTGTTTTTACATGATAAAATCCTCAAACACTCAGGGAGTTCATTACTACCTTCCTCCATTTGCCATGCACACAATTAAGCCTGGTACTGTCCCAGTGAAGTTACATGGATCAACCAGTGATCAGAGATGGGTGCGTTGTTATGCCTTCTTCATCATATGATGTTCCAAACAGTAATAGTCTGGAAGACAGGGTGTCTGATTTAACAAGGTCCAATTAACAAAGTTTTATTGTACCCTGAACATATCATAGCCATGTTCACATTTCACATTCATTATTTCATGTATTTGAAGAACCATGATATACATAGAATAACTGACGGTGTAGTAATGATACGGAAGGTGTAAATACCTGGAAAACTTATTATTTCTATACAAGGACCATTAATCATGTTAATAAAATAATATAAAATGGTATATGGTATCTTTCTTTATGACATCACAGCACAATTGAATCCTAGCACCCACAAGGTGCCTTTTCCCTGGTGGGTCACATATAATTTTGGCAGGGTTTCAGATCGGTTCATTTTCTAGGACAATGAACATGATGGATGAATATAATCCTAAATGGTATTAAGATTTTATTCCAGTTTAGTAAACATATTGCAGAATGTCCTATAAAAACTAGTCATGCCTGCCACACACTGACGGCGTGATACTTCCATAAAAGTCCTGAAATGTCCTCATGTTATGTGTCTCTGTCTTCACTGTTTTGACCAGCATGATCAAGGGGAGATAATCATGATAATGGCATGTCTCTATGAAAATTACCTTCCTTTGCTTTGCACAGCAATTCCTGAGTGTTGACCATACAGTGCTTGACCAACACTGGTTGAGCTGTCTACCATGTCCAGTGTTGACTGATCCAACAAACCCAGGACTGACATAACAAATTAACTGCTGGCAAAATCCAAATAACCTAATGACCTCAATCGTCACTTCTGTATTCAGCTGCTGAAACCAATTTTTAACTCCTGCATGGCAACTGACCTACCTCTTTAATCCTAATGCACAAAGCATTTTGATCAAAAGCCACTGCCTCAGACAGCTGCTTGAGGTGTTCCTGGTATCGGAGACACAAGAACAACAGCTGTCTGTAGTCTAGCTTGTCCAGCATCTCCATGTCCCGCGAGCTGGTCGGGACATTCAGCGAGCCCCTCATGATCGGGAAGAACACAGGGATGGTGTTGAGTTTTGTCAGCTCCGGATCAGGGTCTTTGATGGGGGCCTGTCCTTCTGCAACCACCACTATGTCATGCTTGGGGGTACTCTCCTTGTCCTTGTTCTGTTGGACTTTGTGTTTCTGTACCCGTGGAGATTGTCGTGGAGAATCTGGGGATCATGGTATAGTCATGAATTACATCAATCACATTCAAATCAGATCTTACTTCTCGCTATCGCTAAACAAAGATCTGAGGACATCCCATTAGGGATCATGTCAGAACGACCTTTCATCCAACCAATCAGAGCGTTGCTTACCAGATCATGAAAGTGACAGTCGGAATGTGTTTTCTAATCATGCAACCACGATATATTTAACACGGGGTATTCCGAACAACAGTTACAGGTTTTATGATTATATCCATACAATCTAGGCCATCTATAAGCCATTCCAGAATGTTCTTCTTTTCAGTTTTAAATTTTTTAATCGAGAATACGTCAAAATATGTTTCGAAGCATAGTCGCCAGTTTGAAACTAGTGTCGTAAAGCTCAAGAAGGCTGCCTTCTGATTTGCCAATGTCAATTTCTTGTCAGTCATTTCATTGGTCGGTCAAATTTCGTGAAAGGTCATTCTGGCGTGACCCGTAATGGGATGTCCTCAGGTCTTTGTTTAGCGGTAGCGAAGACTAAGATCTGATTTTAATGAGATTGGAATTACATCAACATCACCAGGCTCCTCCCTTTTCATCCATTGGAATATGAGAGGACATGTGCAAGTGAGTAAGTGTTTTTACATTCCAGCAATATCACGGTACACAGTAATTTGAAACACTCCTCATTTAAACTCTTCAATCAGCCCTTGTTCACTTCCTTTTCATTCAGTAGAAGAAACTTAAGGATCCAATAATCACAATTTCACTTGCACATTCCCCATGTGTTTGTGGTGTGTTTGATGCCTGTATAAATGTTGGATAACCCGAACCTACTTGTATCTAACTGGATGACTCATACCCAAAACACGAATCTGTATCAGATGAAAATACATATGATTTGTAACATTAGTCGTTTAATTAAACAAGTAATTCCAGTCGCTTCTGAAAAGTATCTGCTCTACCGCAGCATACTGATTAAACAGATGAAACAAGTTTTCAACTGAGACTTTGTTTTGTGTTTCATATAACAACACATGAGTACTAAAACAACAATATGCCACCACTTCCAATTGAGTCAACGAAATTTATTTAATCCTAATGTTACAAGTATATTTATACCAGCGGAGAGAGATATCAGCTTACAGACTACTGAAGCTATGATTTCTAGTGACCAGGCCACTTGAGAACTAAAATCATAGACATTGACTGACCTAGGCAATTACGTTCACTTGAAGACAAGTCACAAACACTGATTGAGTTGATTGATTAATTGTTCATTCACTAACTTATGTATGAAAGTAAAGAATGAATGTTTGAAATGTAAAAAAAATAAACATTTGAAATGTATAATAAATGAATGTTGGAAATGTATACGGAATGAAGGTTGGAGTGAGTATGGTATTATGCCACTTTTAGCAATATTCCGGCAATATCACAGCGGAGGACACCAGAGAAGGGCTTTACACATTGTCAAACCTGGGTCTTCGGCATGATAAGCAAACACTAGGCTACCCCACTGCCCCAAACAAATGTTTGAAATGCATAATGAATGAATGTTTGAAATGTATAAGGAATTAATGTTTGAAATGTAAAATGAATGAATATTTGCAATGTAAAATGGAATGAAGTTTGGAAATAGTGCTATGAAAAATTACGCCACGGAAATGCATGTCAAAATATATGAGAATTTAGTGCTGAATAAATGATAAGAAACATATATTTTGTTTTTGTTTTAACTGTCTATACAGGTTAAGGCAACCTGGTTTTGGATATCATGCTTTAAAAAATAAATGGGTACGGGTTATCCAAATTTGGTATGAATCATCCAAAACAGGTACTATTCTGATGACAATATTAGGTACGGGTTGGCCATTTTCATTGGGTATGAATCTCCATGGGTAGGGATCGTCTAGTATTATCATATTTACATGAGTTTTGATTCCCATTTGTACTGACAATTGCTGCAGACTTGGGGCCAAATAGCAGCCTCTGAGCAGATCTAGATAAATCACTGATATGATTCCCAAATCCGGTTTAAATAGAATAGTGATTTATCTGCCAGGTGAGGTGAAGGTTGAAGGGTTCGCAAATACCTTGGGTATGAAAATTTGAACACAGTAGTTTGCTTATACCGCTATAGGACCAGTATCCCTATTGATGGTAAAGCATGATCGTATAGCACTCTTCACACAACAGACACAAACGAAAGAGTATTTAGATGTGTGAAGTGGGAGCAAATTGAGAACCTTACCACCATCGATAGGTTTGCTGATAGAGAACTGAGTATAGGGTATTTCTTCATCTCGCTGAGACCGGATGGTGCTTCCAGGGGCACCTGCTGGCAGACTGCTCTGGTCAGAACCCATAGTTGCTGTCAAGAAATATCATAAAATTTACTTACAATCACAGAGGCATCAAAGCAGTTTACCGGGCGCAGACTGAGCTCTACCATCCACTCAATTGCTGCGCTATAGTGCCACCGCTGTCTCGCTATACCGTTACCATGTCTCACGCTCCAGTGACCCTCGCTTCAAGATCCAACACCTGTTTTCGGTCTTAGGGAAACGTACACGCCTTAACGATCCAACACCCCTTTACGATCCAACACCCCTTTACGATCCAACACCCCTTTTCGGTCCTTAGGGTTAGCTTCCTTTTGGCAAGGGTTAGCCATAAATTCTTACCTTTTCAAGCGTTAATCCGGTTAATCCGATTGGTCGGTCATGTTGACATAAACAATGGTGGGAGTGGTTTCAAGAAAAGATGAATGGGAGAGCGGATAGTGACATCACACGCATGTGCAATTCATTGTTTATTGAGCATGCTTGTTAATGACCCATTAAACGAGCACTGATTACATGTGATAGCGCTCGTGGTCCAGTGGTAGAGCGTCAGCTAATTAACGCATTCGAGCCCCCGTAACGCTAATTGGATCTGAATAAGTGCGCCCGGTAAAGTGCACTACTCCCCTCAAAATTAATTATCATGATAAACAATGATAAACTGCTGCAAGATCTCATCTTTTCACGATGAATTCCATGCGTAGAATTAGTAAACAAAATATGACCATATAGATAAACAATGTTAAACACTAATCACAAAATGTTAGGGCTTTGTATGTCTTACATTTGGCATAAACTTGTTCCAACAATTTTCATGTAAAAGCTTACCCTTCCCTTTCTCGCCTGATTCCACTTCCGTATTATTAACGAGTTAAAACTAGGATTGTGAGTAAACAGCTACTAAAACACGAATAAGGTATTACTCCAATTCAAATGTCATGTATTTTTGGTCGTAATATAAGTGTATTGAAAACGTGATCATATATCAACATAACTCAAACAATTTTAATGAGGCAATCAAAGCAATCTTTACTCATTCTATTACGATCATGTTTTCAATGTTTCCAGTGCAATCTCTCTTTTATGCTATATCCGGTGTCAAAGATGGCCGCCTGTGAATAACAAAACACAGAAAAGTTGATAGCAGAAAAGCAATGAACGCTGACAAAAGAAGAAGGGCTCGTGTTCAGGGCGGCTGGGCCCCGCCATCAGTATCCAATGTGAGATCTGACAGAGATAAGCCCAAAATGCCAGCAGGACCAGCATGGTTGGGCAAAAATATCGACCAAGGTTCGCAAAGCTCAGAAAAAAAGTTTGTTTTCGAGGAAACTGACGAGGTAAAGTTGTATGGTTCGATTTTGTAATCCAGGAAATCCATAAGTTTTATGTACTGACAATAGTTCACTAGTGGGTGCCCAGTATTGTTTTCATGTGACAGTTGTTGGTTTGTTCGTTCTCATTGGTTATAAGGATGTCGAGCCAAGTATCCTCCCGGCTCTTCGCTGATCGACAGCAGGGTTTGTGCATAATAATGATGTTTTTGGTGACAATAATCTTGTCTACACGTCGAAGATAACCAAAATACACCAAAAGAAGTATACTCATTATAATCCGCAATCGGTGTATTATCTGCATGTCGATCAGCGTATTACCATGAAAATGAGTTTATTCTCAATAGCACTAATATCAGGGTTAGAATAGATACCCATCAACCTATATATGCCATATACTGTGATGACATTGATTGGGTGGTCAGGCCATGGTGATATGATTGATTTTGTGTCTTCCCATCCTGATGGCATGGGACATTGCTCATAATATCAAACACTTGTTTGGGGTGCAGGCTAAAACGGCACCTCAGCAAAACGTCACCGATTTCTCTGGTGAAAACGGCACCGCATTTGGCGAAAACGCCTACTATGTGTCGGGCGAAAACGGCACCTCTATTTTTAATAACGATAACAACGATTTTTGTAGTATTATATATGGTTTATTTACATGGTATTTTGATGTATTGAGTACATCTGAAGCCGTAATGTGAATTTCCGATAGGTTTGGTACTCTCATTTCTTCAGCATCTTCTGACTGGAAACTGACATGAAAGTTACCGATCACCTCTTCAATGACGGGAGCTACACATTTCACACAGCGGAAAGGGAAGTCAGTACGGCAAATTTCTCTATAACGGGGCCATAGAAAGTCCGGTTCCACATACACGATGGGTCCACTGGTCACAGTTATCACATGATACAGCATGTTGATTTTTCTGACATTCTTCTCGCATGCAACACATCGTAAGGCCATTGTGAATAATTGTGATCTGACAGCACCATGTTAGGCCTCTTAAATACAGTTTCAGCTTAAATTGAGTAAAGGTACTTAAAACTTCAAAGCGTATAGTGAATAAAAGTCGGTGAGTAAATTGGAGTAGGGGGCTAATTTCTTATTTGTTTTATTTCACAATTATTTGTGTTTGTAACAGACGATGTGAGTTTAATTTCTATTATCTTTCGTCAAAGCATGTTATGTTTTCACCATAAGTTGAGTTGCGTATAAGCTAAGTTGGATTATAGTTGGAGCAGAGGCTAATTTCTAATGTAAACTTGTTTTAACATCTCACAATTATTGGCCTTTGCAAGTTACAACATGTACAATGTAAGTTTAATATCATTTATTTGACCAAGGTAAAAAAAAAAATAAGGTGCCGTTTTCGCTCGAGTCGAGGTGCCGTTTTCGCTTGAGTCGAGGTGCCATTTTCGCCAATCGGTGCCGTTTTCGCCCGGTGACGTTTTGCTGAGGTGCCGTTTTCGCTATAACCCCTTGTTTGTAGTGATATTGCTGCATGCGCCTTTAAACAGCAAGCATTTTGTACATTACTAGATTACAACTGGTTTAGGGAACTCCCTTTCATATCTTTAACTTGTGCATGTCAACTTCAGTTTATGGTTGTCCTGTAGAAATTGAAAGATTTTTATTATTATTAATAATGTAAGCAACTGTTTCAGATAAGACAGAAACCGCCAGATCAAGTTATTACGTAAGTGTATACAATGGTATAACCAGTTAACATTGTTGGACGTGGTACAGATCACAACTCAGGTGAAGTTAAGCAATGTTGGTCACAGAGAGTAGTTAGATGGGTGACAGCCTATTCCAACCTGACTCCTGAGAGTTTTGGGGGCTTCGGTCCTGCCCCACACAAAAGGACGTTTGGCATCATCTTAGGCAAGTGCCTAGGTTTAAATTATGCCTCTGTTCACAAACCAGTGAATGGGTACTACTAATTGTTATTTGTGACCAATTTAAGCATGTGAAGTACACAGGTCCCAAATTATATGTGTGTTGTCCTTGATGTTTGCTCCTTTAGTATTTTATTCTAGGAACCCTGTAAATATTAAATTTTAACATTAGGGTTATGACAAGGACCCATTGACCTCTAAGACTCAATGGGGCACACGTTGTGTGAAGCCTGTTCTTGGTGTTCCTTTGATATTGCAGGAATGAAGAAAATGTGGAGTGTAAGTACTGTAACCCATTTCCTGAGGCAAGGAAGTGAACTCACTTGAAAAATCAAGTTTCCACCCTTGCTGAAGATGGCTGGAATTATGGAGTTATATTTTGGCTGGATTAACGAGTTTATGCATAGTCCAGTCCAAATCCCGTAGCAATATCAACATCCGATTCATTTACGACATGGTAACTGCCTTGTCATATTTGATTGATTGCAGGATTTACAAAGCATGTGTACCATCGCCTGTACGTCGACACATATTTTCCAAATCTTTTCATATTTTTTATCAAGGTGCTCAAGTATTATTACAATAAAGATCCTTATTATCGATGAGATCGTCTTGACTGGGCGTCACCATTTTGTTAGAAGGAAAGGCAGTTGATATGAGTGGTGGAATCTGATTGGTCAGTGGAGGGTGGGGGGGAGATAATATAGTGAATATAGTAGAGACATAAATTGTAATAGCCACTGGTGGCGCTATGATCTATGAACAGAATGATTGTCCTTTTTCCAGGAAAGCCGGAGTTTACGACATTAGCAGTGGACCGGCTGGAGTTTCTAGGTAATTAATCACAGTTTCTTCTTTTTTTTTAATGTGTTCCAAAATACTAACTTTTTCCCTTATTTATGGAAATCACAGAAGTCAGAGGATCATAGATTAAAAGTTATATTGTCAAAGTTACAGCATTATGTATTAAACAAAAAAGTGAAATAATTTTATGACGGATTGCATACTAGGGGCCAAACATGACAAAAGAAACTGTAAATCATGAAAGAAAGTGAAGGAAATATATTTTTATGTTTGCTTAAAAAATTGCACACATGTGCATTGGAATTGTGATGATAAAAATACCAGTCCTAGAAAAAGTTAACATGGTAAAATACTGTGAATATATATATATATATGATATTTGACACCAGCAGGCATCCTTAAAACGCCTGACATCATTGAGGGGTATTCCAGCTTGATAAGTCAATCTTCATCACATTGATTGGCAGTAATATCATGGATATGTTTCAGGAAAAGTCTGTCAAACAACAAAAATTTACATATATTCCGATTGCATAAATTTAAATAGAAGGGCTCTGTTGTTATAATTGTAGTTACCTGTTCCAGACTGAGGTATTTCCCATGTTTTATTGATCCGACGGAGGCCAAGGGAATGTTTGACCAGCTGTTTGAAGAGTGTCCCTGGCGTCAACGATCTGACTCCTACAACGGTGAACAGTACCTGCAGCCCCGGCTCACCGCGTGGTTTGGCGATCTGCCCTACTCCTACTCAGGGGTTACATTGGATGTTAACAAAGATGTAGGCTGCCATTTCTACAGTGCATGGAGATTAAGTGGTCCTGTAGATAGTAAAACCTGTGAAATACAGTCAAACTCTGTAGACTGTTATACCCTGGCACAAACTGAAAATATCATTGGTTTATTTGACAGATTGAATTTTTACCAGTAAACTTTATAGTCAAGGTCCTTAAACAAAATACTTTTACAAGATGGATAAAAACATCAAACTGGCACACTGATACATACACCCATACTGAATAGTTTTGGGAAAGGAGCCACCTTGAAATACTTTTGTTATTTCTGGTAGCCACTAAAATCCAAAATGGCCCCAAAATCACTTTTAAGGCAATGTAAAATTATTCAAACTTTTAATTTTACTCACAACTATGACATGTTATATTTCAAATGAAAGGTCTTTTCATACTCTGAAAGCTCAGGCACCACCCGCATCATCATAAAGTTTGTCGCATGTTTTGTTTTTTATTTTATTTTTATTAAAAAAAACCCCTCAAATATTCCAAGTCCAACAGTAGTCAAATACTGTTTTCCAGTATTTTAGTTATCAGGGAATACATTTATGCAGGGAGGCCCTTATCCAGGTTGATTGTACACAATTGTTTATTTGGTTGCATAACTTGACAAAAAGGCATGATTATAGTGAGTGAGTGAGTAAGTATGGTTTTAAACTGATTTTAGAAAAATTCCAGCAATACCATTGTGGGGACCACCAGAAATGGGCTTCACACATTGTACCCATGTGGGGAATCGAACCCGGGTCATAGGCGTGGCAAGTGACCGCTTTAACCACTAGGCTACCCCACCGCCCTGGCATTATAAAGTAACACAAGTTATATACATGGTGAATAGGGTAATAACACAATGCAGTACAAAAACTTCTAAACTCAGCATTATATCCTAATTTGTAATCATGACGAAGTAGTTAATCTGTCAAATATAGGAACGAAACCCACCTGCCATATGTATTGTGACAGTGAAATGTCCTGCCATTTTACAATTTCACAGAATTTTGGTACCAACATATATATGTAATACAATAATTAATTCATTAATGTGGTAATTTGTTAGTTTGGGTGATTTCCCTGGGAGCGGCAGTGTCTGGATGAACAGAGTTGCACTGTACTACTAACCGGCCCCATTGTGACCCAACTTTACTCATCACGCTGTCTATTGAGGTATAAAATAACAAACATGAACACAAGAGCCAATCATCTTGATTAATGACACAGCTGAATATTACTTTGTTGCAATGGTACAAGGAGTAATTCACAGGATTAGTGTTGTCGAGTGCAATAACCTTCAGTCAGATTGAAATGATACACTCCACTTGGCAATCCTTTCTTTGTGAGGGGGGCACAGGTGGCCTTGTTGTCTATAGTGATGCTTTTAACTCGGCAGAACTGCATCCCTTGGGCATGCCAGAAACATACAATGTCGTGTTCGAATACCAGATTCGACGTGATTATGTTTCTAGGTGTCTAAGCAACCTCCCCATGTTTGTTTCACCAAAGTCCTAAACGTCTTAGACCTGCATCACTTTAGGCTTTCACATTGTGACATAACTGGAGTACTGTTTGAAGTGGCATAAAGCTCACTCATTCACTTTCATCATGAAATGACACAGTTTAGAGTAAAATACTGTGGACAGGTTTTGATGTAACAAAGAAAAACAAAATTATCAAGTTTTATCTAAACATGCTAAAATGTCTAACCATATTGGCTTGAATATCACATTGTGATCTTGTGTTTCTGATACATGTCTATGTGTGTAGAATGTGTCAGGTAAATGTTGTGGTGAGTAGTTTCAGCCTCAAGGGGGCCATTTGACTTCCAGACCCCCAAAACTGGTTAAATGATGCCTGCAGGAATATTTTTGTCTTCAATGCAACTTCCGTTTTACAACAGGTCGCATTCTGCTGACAGCAACAATGATTTGGAAACGTCAGAAATTGAGGGGTATACATAAATGGGAATATTTTAATTAATTTTCTGAAACATCATGAACATCTGCACACAAATGTACACATACCGTATTTGACGTAATAAGCGCCCCGCTCTAATAAGCGCCCACGTCGATATTTGTTAATATATTGGCCAGTGAACAATCCAAATTAGCACCTCTTCTGATTGATCAATGTACGCAAGACTTATTTATTTGTGTATAATACGCACTCGTGTGTTATATGCACCCTTAATTATAGGCAATTAAATTCTGGAAAATATATCTGTCGTGTATAATACACACAGGCTTTTCTTTTGTATCATTTCAGGCTGTCAGCATAAACCACGAAATTCCCGATCTTCCAACTCTGTTTTTTTTCTTCATAATTTTTTTATTCTAATAAGGGCCCCCTATTTCTATTTTTGAGAGCGCCCTGGGCGCTTAATTCGTCAAATACGGTAATATTTTTTAGTATATATTTTTATGGATGAATGCCTTATCTATCTCTATGTGGTCAATATATTATAAAATATTTTAAACTTAACACTTTTATGCAAAACTGTTAACATAGATGGCTACATCACTTTGGACTTTCTTCCCACATTAAGCTGACACAATGTGATATAGCTGGAACACTGTTCAAAGGGTCGTTAACTCCAACTCACTCACTCACTAACACTGTGGACCGCCTCCGTGGTAGAGTGTCCGCCTGGAGAGGGGAAGGTCTGGGGTTCGATCCTCAGCTGCTGGTACTTGTTGTTACCCTGTCTGGTGCTTGGCATTAAGGGGCTAAAACAAGGACTGATCGGCTTGGAGTCAGTATACTGTGTCTGAGTGGGGTATTCGTGTTAAACTGTTGCATGTTATTTCAATGGGCTAGCACTATAAATTGACATCAGTCCAGACTAGTACAAGCAGCCACATGCACACATGCATGCATGTCGCTATATAAGTGCAATAATCTTGGACGCGGTGTTAACCCCAACTCACTCACTCACTAACACTGTGGTGATTTCTCTGTATGCCTCTATAGTAAGGTGTGAAGTTATAGTGGTAGAACTTCAGTAAAATGTACAGAAACCCTACAATTTTTTATTTGGACACATACATTAAAGCATATACATTAAAAAAACCCTTTTCCTTAGAAAAACGTAGATGTTCTTCATGATGTTGACGGAGATCTGCGACCAGTGAAATGACCAGTGCCTCTTGACTACACATGTCCTTGTTTCTGGTCAGTGGCCTGCAGTGATGAGGCTCCTGAAGCAGCATCTGGAGGAAGTGACCGGTCTCAACTTCAACTCCGTCCTAGCCAACCTGTACCGAGATGGCCACGACAGCGTTGCCTGGCATGCTGATGATGAGAAGTCACTGAAGGAGAATCCCACCATAGCTTCACTGTCATTCGGTGATGTCAGAAACTTTGAGTTGAGAAAGAAACCTGCATCTGTAAGTACCTGAGAATATTTGATTATTTTTATTAAATTTTTATACAATTTTTGTATAATGATATGAACATTGTTTGGAACAATATCAGTATGCATGGAAAGATGACAGAATTTGTGCTTATACATGTAATAACAAAATCGCAAAAAAGTAAATTTCTAGTCAATTCTAATCATGGTTAAAACAGTGCAAATATTGTCCGTTTAGGCTTCAACAGTTTAATTTCTTGTTTCCTTTGTGAAATATAATATATTCTTTCATAGAAAGTATGAAAAATGGTTTCATTTATATGAGATTACTTAACAAAAAAGCCCCTTATGATTAAAGTTTAAACAAAATTACGATGAAAAAGGTTCAATATAAGCATATACAGAAGTTTTCAACATGTTGTATTACTCTTTCCAAATTTGGGATAGGCTGTTCTGTAAAAGAGGAAAATAAATTTGTGTATCTTGGAACACTTTTTGTGTAAACTTTAATGTCTGTGTCTTTGAGATGGAGGGGCAGGCGGATAGGCTAGTGGTTAAAGCGTTCACTCGTCACGCCTATGACCCGGGTTGATTCCCGACATGGGTACAATGTGTGAAGCCCATTTCTTGTTCCCCCCCCCCCCCCGTAATATTGCTGGAATATTGCTAAAAGCGGTATAATACCATACTCACTCACTCACTCACTCACTCACTCACTCACTCACTTTGAGAAGGAATATTTTCCTATCATCTAATTTGTCTAACACCTTTGAAACTACTACTTTGTTGTAATCCATGAAACACCACTGTTGGTGTTGTTTGTGCGCCACAGGGGGAGGATCCCGCCTTGAGTCAGCTGATCCGTGTGCCCCTCCCCCCAGGCTCTCTGCTCATCATGGAGGGGGCTACTCAGGCAGACTGGCATGTAAGTCGTTAGATGGGGGTGTTTATATCATTGTATAGTCATTCATAGACCACTGACCCAAACAGAAACAAAGTTCATAATCTTCCTGAGGCAAGGGTGTTATCTTGACTGTAGGACATAGAAGGGACATAACTCTTAATAGCCATTGGTGGCACTATGATTGAGCCATGAAATTCCCGTCTAGTTTGGCAAGGGTGGAAACTGGAATTATGAAGTCATGTTAACCCCCTTGCTTTTGAGAAGATGAGTTGTTGGGAGCTACGTCTTGTCATTAACCTTGCAGAACACAATGATGTAGAACCGTCTCCTGTTTCTTAGTATATTCATGCTTAAGATATCTGCCCTGTAGTACAAACAAGTGAGATGGCAGGTTATGATGCTGTTGCACTTGTAGGAGTGGAACACGGACCTGAAGCCTCTGTTACATTGTTTATTTTTATTTGAATTTGAAATTGTGTCAGCTCAAAACATATAGCTCTTTATTACCATTGACTTGCCATTAGGAATCAGGTATCTGTAGCCAGGTCCCAGGTCGGGGTCACACTGATACTTGGTCTGTCAGCGCCTTAGGATCTCCATCACTTTGACCTCATGTCCTCATATAACCAAAAACATCTCTCTTTCTCACTCACTCATTTAGAAGAGGTTATTTTCTGATCAACAAGGTCAGTTTCTCAGTTTTGTTTTAAGTCTGTGTTTTGCTGTTTCAGCATCGGGTTCCCAGAGAGTACCATGACAGGGGGCCGAGGATCAACTTGACCTTCAGAGTTATTCATCCAGAATAATCACGATACAGATCTATTTTTTTAACAATTTATTGTAAATATTTGAGAGCTTTTCTGATTTTAAAGCAATACTTGTTATATATACATCAGGGCTTTACCCTGACTTACAAAAGTGTGGGTCCAGGGGACCCTCAATAATTATTTTTAAGGGTCCTTGCAGGCAATATGACATCTTCCTGAGGCCAGAGTGTTAACTGACTTTAAAAGTCCAGTTTCCATCCATGCCGGAGTGGGCTCGAATTCCTGGGCTCGATCGTAGCGCCACCAGTGGTTATTATGAGTTATGTCCTTTCTAAGCCTCTCCAATGGACCAGTCAGATTCCACTTTTCATATCACTCGCATTTACTTCAAACAAAATGGCGGCGGTCTGGACGATCTGATCAATAATCAAGATCAATATTGTGATAAAAAGGGTCTTATATCGCAAAATTCATCAAATCACGTGAGCACCTTGATTAAAAACATGAAAAGATTTGGAAAATATCTGTTGACAACGAGTTGGCGGTGCACATGCTTTGCAAATCCTGCAATTGACCGAAATCTTCACAACAGATTACGAACCGGTTTTCACTTTCATTGCACGATTTTGATTGGACTATGCAGAAACTCGTCAGCCGAGCCAAAATGTAACTCCATAATACCAGCCTAGTTCGGCAAGGGTGGAAACTGGACTTTATAGTCAGTTAACTCTCTTGCCTCGGGAAGATGGCAATATGAGGGTCGTGTAAAGTAATGAAATGGTATAGTGTACTGTACGCTTTGATAATTACTTTAGAGCCTGGAAAGAATAAACTATCATGTGGTCATGGTTGATGATTGAAGTGAACTCCTCTTGATGTACTGTAAAATGAATATTACCATATGTCTCTTGGGACACACTATTATATTTTTCTGCATCCATTCTCTACATCTGTGCCTCACAAAAAACCCTGATACATAATCACTGTTTTGAAGAAAGTGAAACATAAAGAAGATAAAGAAGTAAGTTAGTGTCATAGTTTCTTCAAATATACTACTTTTTTCAAGATATATTTATCACTTTGCAATACTGTTTAGTGATGTGTACAATGTGCAACATTGATTGTGTTTGTTTGTTTGTTGTTTAACGCCGCACTCAGCAGTATTCCAGCTATATGACGGCGGTCTGTAAAATAATCGAGTCTGGACCAGACAATCCAGTGATTGACATCATGAGCATCGATCCACGCAATTGGGATCGATGACATGTATCAACAAAGTCAGCGAGCCTGACCACCCGATCCCGTTAGTCGCCATTTACGACAAGCATAGTCGACTTTTACGGCAAGTATTGGTTGCTGAAGACCTATTCTACCCCGGAATCTTCACGGGTCACATTGATTGTGTGTCACGTCTACAGTGAAGAGTGCTGCTCATGCTTTCAACCTCTGGTTTGCCTGGTGATTAGATTATTTACAAACCACTGTGAAATAGCTTGAATAATGCTTATTGAGCCATAGAACAACATTTACTCACATTTTTAAAAATGATTTTCGTATTTATCTTAACAGTAAATGTTTGTGTATGACTATTTCTAAGTTGTTTGTTGGTTAACCCTTCACTTAGCTACATGGCCATGGTCTGTAAATAATTGAGTCTGGACCATCCAATCCAGTGATTGATAACATGAGCATTGATCCATGCAATTGGGATACGATGACATGCATCAACCAAGTCAACAGTCTGAGCACCCGATCCCGTTTGTCTGTCACCTCTTATGACAAGCATGGGTTGTTTGGTTCTCAACCGGATCTTCATGTTTTCCTTTATCTTTATGATTTATCAATCAGTAAGCACTTGTTTTTAATAAGCATAAGCTCAGCAATCTCTTTTTTTAGCATTTGTACATACATACATACCATGTACATATATTTGTAAATTACCATGAAAATGGCCAGTATTTATGATTACATAAATATGTACATAAATATAATTTATTGAGGTAGTGTGTGCCTTTGTGAAACTGCTGTAGAGACCTCAGGTTCGTCAACACAATCGGCAGTGTTGCTACTTCAGTGAGTGACAGTAATGTACATCATTTCTCATGTCTTGTACATTTCTCTTCTGGAAACAGACTTAGTGTAACACAAATTAGGCCTGCAGATCTCTTTGAACTAGCTGGTCTAGTGGTTCCTGCAGAAACGTTGCACGCTTCAGTGTACCCTAGAAAGGGAACACATATTCAGCAGAAACATCGTTTATACATTTAGATATTATAGGCTGGCTATGTAGTTTGATATTTCCCGAAAATAGATTTGATTGGTTGTGATATGTTAAAAATCCAACACAGGAATATATGTACACGTCAAGCCATATAACAGTCTGGCTATGCACATTGCTGTTCTACTCCTAACCTACTTGAAAATAAACTTCATTTAATGGTTGTATTGTGTTGATATATATTTGCTGTGACTATGTTCGTATATATTTGACAGCCAATTCACCGAGACTGACCATCCAATCCTCATTTGATCTGAAACAAACCACAGGGTCCTGATGAGTGTACTGTTAAGAGTAAAACAACTACACATACTGTCAAACGTAGGATGTGTAAAGTTTTTATCGTAAAAGGTTAACGTATATAATGTCAATTAAAACTGTTGAGTGTAAATTATAACTTTACTGTTTATGGTATTACTGCTAAAATCTCGTAATTGTGGTATACAGTCAAATGCCAGTGTGTCGAACTTTGATGTGTGGAACTTTAAGTTTGGTCCATGCTATTCCTTTCACACCATTTCGATTGTGTGGAACCACGGATAACTCCCAAGTATTTACGTAGGTCCTATCAACTTGGACACAAAGGTGTTTGACTGTATATACATAAATTTGATTGTGTGTTTTTTTATTCCAAAATATCAAAATTCTCTCTCAGTCAATGTTACTAGCTACAATACAACATACATGTTGGAATACATACGTAGTATGGTATAGTTGGTGTTTTTTTTCAAAAGGACGTCTGAGTAAAGGTAATCAAAGCATGTGATGTTTTCACAATAGGCTTATTTGCGCCTCCCAATCAATTGGAATAGAGGCTAATTTCTAATGTAAACTTTATTTAAGGCGATTATCATTTCACAATAATTTGTGTTTGCAAGTGACCATGTGAGTTTAATTCAATTTATTTTACTTCAAAGTATGTAAAGTTTTCACAATAAGTTGAGTTGCGCCTCCTAATCAGTCGGCTAGTAAATTGGAGTAGAGGCTAGTTTCTAATAAAACTTGTTTTAACATTTCACATTTATTTGTGTTTGCAAGTTTGTGAGTTGTATTGCATGTATTTCAGCACTAAGGTAAAAAAGGTGCCGTTTTCGCCAGGCACTAGTAGGCGTTTTCCCTTCAGGCGAGGTGAGGTTTTCGCCAATCGGTGCCGTTTTCGTTCGTTGACGTTTTGCTGACGTTTTTTCATGTTGCATTTGTCGTTAGATCATATACATGCACTTTACTGAATCATATAAAGTAGCTCTGTGTAGAGACAAGTCAATATCAAAATTGTTTACAGGGAGCAGCTAGGTTTTACGACACTTCAGCAATATTGCTTCACATTTTGTACCCGTATTGTGAGGCATTATCCGCCTTAGGTTTGACGAGTGAACTACACTGAGGCTACAATTCTTTAATTGGAACAAAATAAATAAAACAAAAGTTTCTCCAAGGTTTTATTTAAGGCACTAGCTATTTGTATTGTTTGACTGGCACCTGAGCTAACAGACCCAAAGATTCCCCCTCCCTGCTGTTTAACACCTGGTCAGTGGATTCCATATTACTCAAGCTGCACTTGAGCTGTAACTACTGTAGAAATACATGGGTGTAACCGCCTCCGTGGTCTTGTGGAAAGAGCGTCTGTCCGGAGAGCGGAAGGTCGGGGGTTCGATCCCCGGTCGCGTCATACCAAAATACGTTAAAAAATGACCTACTTGGCGCTCGGCGTTAAGGGGCTAAAACAAGGACTGGTCGTCTCGGAGTCAGTATGCTGTGTCTGAGCGGGGTATTCATGTTAATCTGCGGCATGGTGTCTTATTGGGCTAGCACTATAAAATAGGCATTCGCGGACTAGCACAATCAGCCACACACACACACGTGCATGCACGTCGTTAAATGTGTGCCATAATCTTGAACGCTACGTTAAACCCCATTACACCTCACCTCATGGGTGATACATCCAGGCACTAGGAAACATATAGTTCCGATTCCACGTGTCTATCTGTATGCATTCGCTGAAATAAATACCCATGCCTCGATCTACGCAACTGGGATGCGATGACATGCACCAACCATGTCAGCGAGCCTGACCACCCGAAACCCGTTAGTCGTCTCTTACGACAAGCATAGTCGCCTGCTACGGCAAGCATGGTTGGTGAAGACGTTTTCTAACCCGTATCGTCAAGGGTGTTGTTGGGATTCTGAAATAGACTTAAGCGTACGTGTATACATCTGCAACTGGAGTGTGTAAGTACTAAAAGTATAACACTTGAAACTAGAGTAAAAAAATCAGAGATGGGATATTTCTGAAAGCATTTACCACGCATACCTGTGAAAGCAGTTAAGCATCATTTCCTGTTTATGTCTGTATCTGGAACACCTAGACCCGAAGCATTCAACATGGGAAAACGGTACCCATTGCTAATTGCTATCATGGTCTACAAACTGTATACTTCTCGACGCTCCTAAAAAGGAACGTACTTCACCCTCACGATGCATGAAATGGTGCTTTTTCGTAATTAAGTGATTTGTAGTTATTGTTGTGAGTGAGTGAGTTGGGTTAAACGCCGCTTTTAACAGTACTCCAGTCATATCATGGCGTGTCAGCTTGATGTGGGAGGAAAGCCCGAAGTGAAAGGTCTCAGACGTTTACCACTTTGGCGAAACCCACGAGCACGGGTATGGTGCTGACAAACCTAGAAACATAATCGGGGCATCAGTCGACATAGGGTTACACTCTGCAGGAACAGACAACATAGTGCTGTCAGTCAGATGACACACTGCCCAAAGACTGATTTCAATCAAAGTTCACGGTAGCCAAGTGGAGCAGTGTAAATAGGAGCATGTACTTCAGCAAACATTGACCACAAGCAGTAGAATCTCCCAGCAGTCAGGTGAGGTTCAGAACCTGTAGTAGGTGGGATTCTTGATCTACCAGGTCAAGTTGACCCTTGGCCTTGGTATATAAATGATTTGGCAGTATCCATGGTGTTGGGACAAAATATCCTCTTTAATAACAAAGTTTTAAATCTTCCA